GTGGTGGAAGTTGCCGTCCGTCCTGTCGAGGTAGAACCGGGTTCGTTTGGAGGAGGGATGCCGGCCCATTTGATGGGAGAGTCCCTGAAGGGTGAGAATCTGGAAGAGGAACAAGTGGTACAGCTTCAGGAGCTTTTGAGGAAGTGGCAACATGTGTTTTCAACACATGAAGAGGACTATGGCTGCACAGAGGTGGTGAAGCATCAGATACCCACCGGTGAGGCGACGCCTAGTCGAGAGCGGTACCGTCCGGTGCCCCCCACTCTTTATACCGAGGTCCGCACCCTGTTGAAAGGTATGCTGGAGGGAGGAATCATCCGAGAAAGCAGTAGTCCTTGGGCTGCGCTCATCGTTCTGGTGCAGAAGAAGACGGGAGCCTGGAGGTTTTGCGTTGACTATCGCAAACTTAACAGTGTAACGAAGAAAGATGCATTCCCGTTGCCACGGATTGAAGACTCACTCACCAGTCTTACCCAAGCGGCATGGTACTCGACATTGGACCTGGCAAGTGGATACTGGCAGGTGCAGGTAGATGACCGAGATAGGGAGAAGACAGCTTTCACCACCCTGTTTGGGCTATTTGAATGGGACCGTATGCCGATCGGTCTGTGCAACGCCCCTGCGACTTTCCAACGCCTGATGCAGCGCTGCCTAGGAGGACAATTAGTCGACTCAACGCTGGTCTACCTAGACGATGTGATCGTCTTCTCCCCTGATTTCCACACTCACCTGCATCATCTGGAAGGAGTTTTCAGGGCCATGGAGAAATATGGGCTGAAGCTTAGGCCGGAAAAATGCCAGTTACTGTGGAAAGAGGTGCAGTTCTTGGGACATCGTGTCAGTGCTGTAGGGATCTCCCCTGACCCAGAGAAGGTGGCGGCGGTCCAAGGATGGGAGCCACCCCGGACAGTAAGACAGGTGCGGTCGTTCCTGGGCTTTGTGGGATATTATCGTCGCTTTATAAGGGATTCTCTGGGCTTGCTAAGCCACTGAACCAACTCTTGGCTGGCACTGGACGTGCTACTACCACGTGCCTGTGGTAAAGGCTCCCCCTCAGTACACTGGCATTCCACCTGTGAGACTGCTTTCCAGAACCTTAAACAGGAACTCCTGAAGGCCCCAATCTTAGCCTATGCAGATTTCACCCAGCCGTTTCTCCTGTACAATTGACGCCAGCAATGCAGGATTGGGGGCCGTGCTGGCCCAAGAGCATCAAGGAGTGGAGAGAGTGATCGCGTATGCAAGTCGAAGTTTACATCCCGCCGAGCGAAACGCTGCAAACTATAGCTCCTTTAAAATCGAACTACTGGCGATGAAGTGGGCCATGACGGAGAAGTTTAAAGACTACTTGTGGGGAGCCAAGGTAACGGTGATTACAGACAACAATCCCTTAGTACACTTGCAATCCGCTAAATTGGGGGCAGTGGAGCAGCGCTGGGTGGCACAGCTAGCAAATTATGATTACCAGCTAAAATATAATCCCGGCAGAGAGCACGTAAATGCAGATGCCTTGTCCAGACTCCCAGCCACCCAGAGAGGCGATCGAGCACCCCTCGGTGCCCTTGGTACCGAAGATGAGTTGCTGGTGGAAGCTCCCGGAGTCTGTTCCATCTAGTTGGGGGTGGGACCCCGGACGGTGGAGAGAGCTGCAGCAGAGAGATGCAGATTTGGGTCAGCTCCTGTTGTACCTCAGACAGGGGAACCGGCCGAGGGCAGAGGAAAGACAGACTCAGACGGTGGGGGTACGACAGCTTCTGAGACAGTGGAAGAGACTGCAACTCCGAGAAGGAGTAATCTGTCGTTCAAGGCGGGATCCCCGCACACAGGAGACTGTACACCAAGTTGTTGTACCGGAGGGCCAAGTCTCGGAGCTGTTGAATGCCTATCACACCCATACTGGCCATCAGGGCCAAGAGAGGACACTGTCCCTGCTGAGGAGGTATTTCCACTGGCCTAGGATGAAAAAGAAAGTTGAGGAATTTGTTCAGAGCTGCCCACGGTGTACATTGTTCAAACCCAGGAAGGAGGTCCGAGCCCCATTGGTCCCCCTGCGACCGAAAGCACCTCTGCATATCGTAGGGATAGATTTCCTGACTCTGGGTCGACCAACAGACCGATTCCAGAATATTCTGGTCATGACCGACCTATTTACTAAATATGCCTGGGCCGTCCCCACCGTCGATCAAACGGCAGTTACCACAGCCAATGCCCTTTGGAGAGCAGTGATACAACCTTTTGGCTGCCCAGAAACCCTACACTCGGACCAAGGTTCAAATTTCGAGTCCCGGGTCATCCAAGAGCTGAGCCGCCTCTATGGGTGCCGAAAGACCCATACGACCTCATACCACCCTCAGGGTAACGGAGGGTGCGAAAGATTCAACCAGACCTTGCTGGGGTTGCTGGGGACCCTAGAGAGTGAACAACAGGGCCAATGGGCCGAGAGTCTTCCCTCGCTGTTACAAGCATACAACAACAGTGTGCACAGTGTCACCGGTTATGCTCCTTCCTACCTTATGTTTGGGCGCCACCTCCGCTTGCCTGTGGACTTGCTCATGGGGACCGAGGCTGCAGAAAGAGGGTATAGTACCACTGACTGGGTAAATCGGCACCACCACCAACTGCTCAATGCCTACCGACGAGGCTCAGACCATCTGAGTGCAGCAGCCGCCAAGAATAAGAGACTATACGACCGGACTGCCCGAGAGGCCCCTTTGTTACCTGGGGAGCGAGTGCTGGTACGGGACAACCGGCCCCCAGGGAAAGGGAAGCTCAGTGACCGCTGGGAGTCGACGCCATATGTGGTGGAACAACGACAAGGGCCTGATGCCCCCGTCTACTCTGTACGGCCCGAAGGAAAGCCAGGACCAATACGGGTGCTCCATCGAAACCTGCTCCGTCCCTGTCCGAACTACCCGCAACAAGCGGCTGAAGCCCCAAGTGCACCACCCGCCTCAGAGGCACCTATGATAGGGTGGGCTGTGGTCCCGAGGGACCCTGAGGTTGAAGCCAGAGCGGCTCTGCCTTCGCCACCCCGACGATCTCAACGGAACACCCGAGGACAACCACCTGAGAGGTACGGCGAATGGAATTGAGGGACGCCGGTTCCAGGGACTAAAACCGATTGGCAAGGGGGGATGTCATGGGTGACAAAATCGCTCAGTAAACGGAACCTTCTTGAGAGTCCCGAGTTTCCTAGGGGAACGTATTGGGTGCAACACTCCACTACGGTTCCGGGTGTGATGGAAACATGCCCGTACTGATTAGCGCTAATGCAGTGCAGGTGTGAGAGAGAGAGGAGCGGCGCTCACACAGGCTTTCTGTTTCATAAGCCACGATATAAAAGGGGCATTTAGAGAGTGTTTGGAGCGCGTTCGGTGGGTGTACAGTGTGTCAAGAGTCCAAAGGGTTGACAAGATCAGACATTAAAGTGGGTTGACTCTGGGCAGTGCTGGATACAGGCTTCCTTGGAAAAAATCGTTGGGGTGTGGAGATCACCCATTTGAGGCTGCTGGGTCAGAGTGATCGTTTGTGGGAAGACCGCTGGACCGAGCTAGGACTGGATCTGTGCTGTGGAAGGAGAGAGGAAAGATAAGTGAATTGTTTTAATCTTATGAACATTTGAACCGCTTGAAGCGGATACAGTGAATGTGGATCTGACTGTTGGAGGAGCTATGTGTTTCAGAGTGAGATGAGGAGGAATTAAAAGTGAAACCCCTGTAAACGAGCGCAACGGACTGAGTGGGGCCTCTGTTCAACCCTATCGTGTGAGTGAATTGCAGTGCTTTTGCCTTATTGATACACATGGATTTATTGCTGTGGAATTGAAGTGAACACAAATGTGCTGTCTTTGTTGAGAAGTGGCCCTTATCCATGCTTACACGTTCGTGGAAGGTTATTATATCTGCCCCCGTCAGAAGCCCAGAGTGATACAGTGAACTGAAGAGAGAGTACTGTGTACTGTGAATATCCTCACCTGTTCTACTTACTGTTTGAGCCCAGAAGTATACAGCAACGCTGATAAAGTAATCGTAAGAAGGCCTGTAAAATTCTGCAAAATTTGCCCAAAACGCCTAAAAAAGACCTATCCAAATTAAATTGCATGCTGTTCTTGAACCATTTGGAGTATATGCATGCTTTTGCTCTCTTTTGAAAGGCGACACTCAGAGGTTTGTTCCTAAACAGTCAAAATCACTGTAAGTCCTACTGGTCTTGAGTAATATAACTTTGAACACAATGAAAAATGACAAAAAAATTCCGCCTACATTTTTTTTGTGTAAACAGATGCCTGCAGATAACTACAGCTGGGAGCTATTAGCTGGAAAACACAACTGGATCACAGCATGAAGAGCTTACCAAACAGAGTTTAAAATTTGATGATAATATCTAAGAAAATGAGTGTTTTACACACGTTTATCTAAGTGTATATCTAGGCGCTTCCCAAAAAAAAGCCACTTGGAGACTCCAAATGACCCTTTGTGATCATAGACACATAAAATGCTGCTATTCTTGAATGCTTTACTCTACAGTCATAATTTTGGGCTCTAATGAAAGGTTACACTTAGGGCTATCATATTCCTTAGCCAGATTCACTGTAAATATTGATGACACATAGTAACTGAAGCATAAACACATTATAGTGTTTTTTTTTCAATTCTTGAAACCAAACTTTCTACAAATAAAGAGACAAAACAAGTGCTATGGTACTAAAACACTTTAATATTAGAACTCAAACTACACACACACACACACACACACATATATATATATATATACACACACACACACACACACACAAAAAAGTGTGACGACCTGCAGTGCTGTGGCCAGTGATATGCACAGGCTTGGAAAAAAAAAAAGAAGCCAGTTCTCCTCTGCATCTCACCCTCCCTGTCCACTTGTTGTTTAGCTGGCAGAACCTCTCTGGAAAGATAAATGATGGGGCTCCTCTCCTGATAAGGTGCTGTCATTCTGTTCCAGTATGTTGTTTTTTTCTGACTGGCTCCCAGAATTCACTCAATTAATTTTCAGATGATGGTCTGTGATATATAAAAAAGGGAAATAAGTTAATTTACAAAACATTTACATTATATGTGTGTGAATACAAAAATAAACAGAAACACATGCACACAAAAAACCAGGATTATGCAGTTCATGAGCGCACACGCACATCATGAGCAATAACATAAACACGAGCGCACACAACATAAATTAGCAGATAAATGTAAACAAACACACAAGACATGTATGTTTTGTGTGTTTAGCTATTTCAACTCACAAAAAGGCCACATAAACAGTGCTATAACGTTACGAGCGCACACCAGAGAAACTATAGCAGGTAGCTAATGCTACACGCAAAACACAAACACACACACAATCACACACACACACACACGGCAAAAGCTGACGCCTCAACTGAGGCATGTGTTTGTTTTAGTACACCTAAACCAAACACATGTCTCAGTATATAGAGTCAAATATGTTGAGTAATATAATAAAACTTACTTTTCGTGACGTGAGTACCGTGGCCACCATCCAAAAAGGTCCTCTGCTAGTGCTAACCAGACAACAACATCGATTGCTCTCTTGCTCACAAATGTCCTCCCACTCACCACGGTCACGGAGAATACACTGTTCAATCACTTCTTCGAGTAATAAGTGCATCTTTCTAATTATCTTTGCCATTTCACATCTGTTACCTCCTTTCACTCACCAACGCGTTCAATGTTGTGTTTACGCACAAGCGCGCAGAGGATCACTTTCGCTTTACGCATGAAATATAACGTAATCGGATGATTCCACCCACTAAAGCTGCATTTCAGTCTTTTCAGAAATTCATTGGCTATCAGAAAATAGCGTCATTTCATTCTCTATTGCAACTGGATAGATAAACTGTCACTCAAAGAGAGGTAGGTACAGATTTCACCAGGCGAGCTCGTTGGTTGTTGGAACATCAGAAGACACCCCTAACACTCGCCGATTGGCTAAAATGACCTGTCAATCAATAGTTCGGGGGTCAGCGGCCATTTTGACATACTTTGTTCTCCAATGTTTACGTTTCAACTGAAGTTAGACAGATCAATAGTGCTAGTGCGTCGAAGTTGTGATAGCGCTGTCGGCTAACGCGAAATGCTACTATTTACATTCCATGGATGTTTATTTATATATACAATTGTTTTGGACTAAAAACTTCTTCAAATTGGATTGTATGGACGCTTTTCAGTGAAACCAAACCATTTTTGTTGGAATGTAAGGGATCAGTGGACTACTTGGTGAGTTTCTTCCAGTTTGTGTTGGTTTGTTTTGGCTGTTGGTGGTCTGACAAAGAGACAGATTGTGCCCGCTGTGTTGATTGTATCTTAAAATGGTTTACGTCGTTCGAATCACGAGTTTCTCAGCTTTCCAAAGATATGTATTGTGTTTACTTTTGTGTTTGTGGAGCTTTGTTTTTCACAAAGTTAAACCTATAAACCACCCTGTGGGTCGTATACGGAACGTCGGAACACTAAACGGTTTCACTGTCGCCCTACTGTGAACTGAGGAGAGAGTACTTTGTACTGTGAAGATCCCCACCTGCATACAGCACCACTGGTAAAGTAACCTTAGACTCACTGTCTCCCTATTGTGAACTGAAGAGAGAGTACTGTGTACTGTGAATATCCTCACCTGTTCTACTTACTGTTTGAGCCCAGAAGTATACAGCAACGCTGATAAAGTAATCGTTTAACCCACTGTCGCCCTACTGTGAACTGAGGAGAGAGTACTTTGTACTGTGAAGATCCCCACCTGTTCTACTTGCTGTTTGAGCCCAGAAGCACACAACATCGCTGGTAAAGTAACCTTATGACTCACTGTCTCCTTATTGTGAACTGAAGAGAAAGTACTGTGTACTGTGAATATCCTCACCTGTTCTACTTACTGCTTGAGCCCAGAAGTATACAGCAACGCTGATAAAGTAATCGTTTAACCCACTGTCGCCCTACTGTGAACTGAAGAGAGAGAAAGTACCCTGTACTGTGAAGAATCCTCACCTGCCATACTTACTGTCTGAGTCTGGAAGTCTGCAGCACCGCTGGGGGAAAAGTAAGCTTTTTAATCCACTGCTTTATTATCGTGCACCAACGAGAGTACTCTGTACTGTGAAGAATCCTTACCTGCCATACTTACTGTCTGAGTCTGGAAGTCTGCAGCACCGCTGGGGGAAAAGTAAGCTTTTAATCCACTGCTGTATTATCGTGCACCCTCAAGAGTACTCTGTACTGTGAAGAATCCTTACCTGCCATACTTACTGTCTGAGTCTGGAAGTCTGCAGCACCGCTGGGGGAAAAGTAAGCTTTTAATCCACTGCTGTATTATTGTGCACCCTCGAGAGTACCCTGTACTGTGAAGAATCCTTACCTGCCATACTTACTGTCTGAGTCTGGATGTGACGATTGTCACGGGTGACAAAATCGCTCAGTAACGGAACCTTCTTGAGAGTCCTGAGTTTCCTAGGGGAACGTATTGGGTGCAACACTCCACTACGGTTCCGGGTGTGATGGAAACATGCCCGTACTGATTAGCGCTAATGCATTGCAGGTGTGAGAGAGAGAGGAGCGGCGCTCACACAGGCTTCCTGTTTCATAAGCCACAATATAAAAGGAGCATTTAGAGAGTGTTTGCAGCGCGGTTGGTGGGTGTACAGTGTGTCAAGATTCCAAAGGGTTGACTCTGGGCAGTGCTGGATACAGGCTTCCTTGGAAAAATCGTTGGAGTGTGGAGATCGCCCATTCGAGTTGCTGGGTCAGATTGATCGTTTGTGGGAAGACTGCTGGACCGAGCTAGGGCTGGATCTGTGCTGTGGAAGGAGAGAGGAAAGATAAGTGAATTGTTTTAATCTTATGAACATTTGAACCACTTGAAGAGGATACAGTGAATGTGGATCTGACTGTTGGAGGAGCTATGTGTTTCAGAGTGTGATGAGGAGGAATTAAAAGTGAAAACCCTGTAAACGAGCGCAACGGACGGAGTGGGGCCTCTGTCCAACCCTATCGTGTGAGTGAATTGCAGTGCTTTTGCCTTATTGATACACATTGATTTATTGCTGTGGAATTGAAGTGAACACAAGTGTGCTGTGTCTTTGTTGAGAAGTGGCCCCCATCCATGCTTACACGTTCGTGGAAGGTTATTATATCTGCCCCCGTCAGAAGCCCAGAGTGATACAGTGAACTGAAGAGAGAGTACTGTGTACTGTGACTTATCCTCACCTGTTCTACTTACTGTTTGAGCCCAGAAGTATACAGCAACGCTGATAAAGTAATCGTTTAATCCACGGTCGCCCTACTGTGAACTGAGGAGAGAGTACTTTGTACTGTGAAGATCCACACCTGTTCTACTTGCTGTTTGAGCCCAGAAGCATACAGCCCCACTGGTAAAGTAACCTTATGACTCACTGTCTCCCTATTGTGAACTGAAGAGAGAGTACTGTGTACTGTGACTATCCTCACCTGTTCTACTTACTGTTTGAGCCCAGAAGTATACAGCAACGCTGATAAAGTAATCGTTTAATCCACGGTCGCCCTACTGTGAACTGAGGAGAGAGTACTTTGTACTGTGAAGATCCACACCTGTTCTACTTGCTGTTTGAGCCCAGAAGCATACAGCCCCACTGGTAAAGTAACCTTATGACTCACTGTCTCCCTATTGTGAACTGAAGAGAGAGTACTGTGTACTGTGACTATCCTCACCTGTTCTACTTACTGTTTGAGCCCAGAAGTATACAGCAACGCTGATAAAGTAATCGTTTAACCCATTGTCGCCCTACCGTGAACTGAGGAGAGAGTACTTTGTACTGTGAAGATCCACACCTGTTCTACTTGCTGTTTGAGCCCAGAAGCATACAGCACCACTGGTAAAGTAACCTTATGACTCACTGTCTCCCTATTGTGAACTGAAGAGAGAGTACTGTGTACTGTGACTATCCTCACCTGTTCTACTTACTGTTTGAGCCCAGAAGTATACAGCAACGCTGATAAAGTAATCGTTTAACCCACTGTCTCCCTATTGTGAACTGAAGAGAGAGTACTGTGTACTGTGACTATCCTCACCTGTTCTACTTACTGTTTGAGCCCAGAAGTATACAGCAACGCTGATAAAGTAATCGTTTAATCCACGGTCGCCCTACTGTGAACTGAGGAGAGAGTACTTTGTACTGTGAAGATCCACACCTGTTCTACTTGCTGTTTGAGCCCAGAAGCATACAGCCCCACTGGTAAAGTAACCTTATGACTCACTGTCTCCCTATTGTGAACTGAAGAGAGAGTACTGTGTACTGTGACTATCCTCACCTGTTCTACTTACTGTTTGAGCCCAGAAGTATACAGCAACGCTGATAAAGTGATCGTTTAATCCACTGCTTCATTACCGTGCACCCACGAGAGTACCCTGTACTGTGAAGAATCCTTACCTGCCATACTTACTGTCTGAGTCTGGAAGTCTGCAGCACCGCTGGGGGAAAAGTAAGCTTTTAATCCACTGCTTTATTATCGTGCACCAACGAGAGTACTCTGTACTGTGAAGAATCCTTACCTGCCATACTTACTGTCTGAGTCTGGAAGTCTGCAGCACCGCTGGGGGAAAAGTAAGCTTTTAATCCACTGCTTTATTATCGTGCACCAACGAGAGTACCCTGTACTGTGAAGAATCCTTACCTGCCATACTTCTTGTCTGAGTCTGGAAGTCTGCAGCACCGCTGGGGGAAACGTAAGCTTTTAATCCACTGCTTTATTATCGTACACCAACGAGAGTACTCTGTACTGTGAAGAATCCTTACCCGCCATACTTACTGTCTGAGTCTGGAAGTCTGCAGCACCGCTGGGGGAAAAGTAAGCTTTTAATCCACTGCTTTATTATCGTACACCAACGAGAGTACTCTGTACTGTGAAGAATCCTTACCCGCCATACTTACTGTCTGAGTCTGGAAGTCTGCAGCACCGCTGGGGGAAGAGTAAGCTTTTAATCCACTGCTTTATTATCGTGCACCAACGAGAGTATTCTGCACCGTGAAGAATCCTTACCTGACATACTTACTCTTGGGTCTGGAAGTCTGCAGCACCGCTGGGGAGAAGTAAGCTTTTAATCCACTGATCCATCATCGTACATCGACGAGAGTCTTCTTTAACTGTGAGAAACCCTTGGTTGAATAAAGATTGTTACTCCTTTGAAACTTGTCTCTGTCTCCGGGTCCTCTGTTGTGTGCCTGTGGTGTCGGCTCCTCACGGTGGTGACTCAGTTAGACGGGGGGTGGTTGGTCACCCGAGCGTTCCTCCCCTCGACCTGTGACACGATCAGCAGCCGTGGTGCCCTCGAGAGCCACTAGAGGGCACTCTCTCCCCATGTTCTGTTTCCCCATGGACTCTTTGTGTTTCATTATGTTCAGCTGTGTTTCATTATTGGTTATTGAGTTCCTTATTTAAGCCTGAGTTTTCCCTGTGTCCCTTGCGAAGTCTTGTTACCCTGTAAGCGTGCAATTCCGAGCGTTATTCCCTGTTCTGTGTCTCCGTGTTTCCCTGGACTCTTGACCCTTGCTTGTTTCCTGGACTGCTCTCGAACCTGTGCTGCCTGCCTCGACCATTGCCTGTTTAGACCACAAGTTCCTGGATTGCCCCTTTGTTTAAGTGTTTGCCTGTGTTCATGTCTGCTTGTTTTAATAAAGTGCTGCACATGGATCCGACCGTCTCTGTCCGTACGTTACACTGGAAGTCTGCAGCACCGCTGGGGGAAAAGTAAGCTT